CCCGGGGGGTATCTGTTATTCTGTATATAAACCCCCCCGAACCCCCTCGATCAGATTCCAGTCTGTAACTCCCTCCCGGGGGGTATCTGTTATTCTGTATATAAACCACCCTGAACCCCTCGATTAGATTCCAGTCTGTAACTCCCTCCCGGGGTATCTGTTATTCTGTATATAAACCACCCCGAACCCCTCGATTAGATTCCAGTCTGTAACTCCCTCCCGGGGTATCTGTTATTCTGTATATAAACCACCCCGAACCCCTCAATTCGGGGAACCAGTCCATGATTATCCTAAATTAATCTTGTCCCATTAGCCAGCATTTGGTCTGTGTCCCCCTAACTCTGGGTGCCTGTGTGTGGGCTGGGAGAGAGGGGTTCGTGTGTGTGTGAGAGAGCGAGTTGTGTGGGCAGGGAGAGAGGGGTATGCGTGAGGGGATGCCAGGGGTTGTGTTGAGGGAAATGGGTTGGCACGGCCGCTGGGAGGCTGGGGCCGAGCGGGCGCCACCTCAGGGATGGACGCGTTGGTGCTTGAGTAGGTGGGAGCTCTGGCTGAAGCGGCGCCCGCAGACCTGGCATGGGAAGGGCCGCTCGCCCGTGTGGACCCTCTGGTGGCGCCGCAGGTTGGAGGAGACGGTAAAGCGCTTGCCGCACAGCGGGCAGGGGTAGGGCCGCTCGCCGGTGTGGACCCGCCGGTGGGCCAGGAGGCAGTCGGCGCCAGTGAAGCGCTTGCCGCAGTCGGGGCAGGCGTGCGGCCTCTCGCCCGTGTGGAGGCGGCGGTGGGCCAGGAGGCTGGAGGCGACGGTGAAGCCTTTGCCGCAGAGCGGGCAGACAAACGGGCGCTCGCCGGTGTGGAGGAGCCGGTGTGCCAACAGGTGGGCCGACTCGCCGAAACCCCGGCCACAGTCTGGGCACACGTAGGGGCGCTCGCCCGTGTGCACCCGGTGGTGCCGCAGGAGCTTGGAGGACTGTCCAAACCGTTTGCCGCACAGCGGGCAGGTGAAGGGGCGCTCGCCCGTGTGCACCCGCCCGTGCACCTTCAGCTCGCCGGCGCTCTTGAAGCGTTTGCCGCATTCGGGGCAGCCGTGTGCCCGCTCCTCTGTGTGCACCCGCCCATGGGTCAGCAGGTGCGAGGAGCTGGCGAAGGTCTTCCCGCACTCACCGCAGGCGAAGGGCCGCTCGCCTGAGTGGCCGCGCCGGTGGGCGGCCAGCTCCGAAGGGTAGGCGAAGGCCCGGCCGCACTCGGCGCAGCGGTGCGGCGTCCCCGGCCTGGAAGCGGCGCCGCCGTGGCACCGGTTCCGGTGCCGTGCCAGCTCGGAGGGGCGCCCGAAGGCCAGGCCGCACGGCGGGCATGAGTGCGGCCTCTCACCCGCCCGCGCCAGCCGGCGGGCCCGCAACCCCTGCCGCTGCCCCAGGCCCTCGCCGCAGTCGGCGCGCGGGTCGTGGGACGCCCGGTGCTTCTCCAGCCACAAGCGGGACTTGAAGCCGCGCCCGCAGGTCGGGCACTCCAGCCGCCCGCCCTCCGCTCCTCTGCCCGCTCCCGGGTCCCGGCGCTCCGTCCCTGGCGACTCCGACGGCCGTTCATCCCTCTCCTCCCTCGGGGACCTGCTGACACAGACAGCGAGGATCAGCAACTCCGTTCACGAGGAGCGCAGCCCGCTCTGCATTTGCATATAGCCTTGCACCGCCATGCCTTCCCCAGCGCGTTAACAGCCTCCTCCTACACCACTCCCGAGAACGCCCAGCCCTCCCCCGCTCCACCCCGCACCCTGCACCCCAGCGCGTTAGCAGACAAGTCAGGAATGTGATGGGAATAGCCTCCCAACTCCCCCTGGATTTGGGGGGCAGCTCCGGCAACATTCGAGAATCTCAACACTGCCCAGGGTCACTGCGATATTAGGGATTTGGGTCAAGGATTACGATCGGATTTCCGGTGAAGATTGGGTCAAGGCTTAAGGCCGGGATGGGGATGACGGTTTGGGGGGGACGGAGACGGGAAGTCAAGTTTGAGCTAGATGCCAATTTGTGACTTGGATCCAAGTTGAGGTTCGGATAGATGGAACCCGAGCTCGGGATTACGGTCAAGTCGAGATTTAAGGCCGGCGTCGGGGCAGAGATTGCAGTGAAGGGACGCCCCTTCAGAACTGAGACGGGGAGGAATTTCTTCAGCCGGGGGGGATGGGGGGGCGGTGAATCTGTGGGACGTATTGCCCCAGGGTTGGGGGGGTGTGCCGTGGGTCATTGAGTGTCTTTAAGACAGAGATGGATAGGTTCTGGGTGGGTGAGGGGCACAAGGAGGAGGCAGGACAACGGGTGTTGGGAAACATATCAGCAAATGGAACAGCAGATTCCAACGGGGCCAAGTGGCCTCATTCTGCTCCCGTTCCCCATTTCAGTCGTATTCTGCTTTTTATTCTTCTGATCTAAGGGAAGCAACTTTCTTCCTGCGTAGCACTCTGTTAGCCAGATTTCCGCCACTCCTTCAACCTTCACCTCTCCCCATTTGCAGCCTTCTTATGTCCTCTTCCAGTCTATAGAGTCACGCAGCATGGAGACAGACCCTTCGGCCCAACCAATCTGTCCCGACCCTAATCCTAAACTAAGCTAGGCCCCACCTGCCTGCTTCTGGGCCCATATCCCTCCAAACCTTTCCCAATCCATGTACTTATCCTAAATGTCTTTAAAACGTTGGACCTGTCCCCACATCCACCACTTCCTCTGGAAGCTCATTTCACACACCCTCTGTGTGAAACGCTTGCCCCTTGTGTCATTTTTAAATCTCTCTCCTCTCACCGTAAAAATGTGCCCCCTGGTCTTGAAATCCCCCACCCTAGGGAAAAGGCACCTACCGTTAACCCTGTCTGTGCCCCTCATGATTTTATAAACCTCTCTAAGGTCCCCTCTCAACCTCCTACGCTCCAGAGAATAAAGTCCCAGATTATCCAGCCTCTCCCTATAACTCAAACCGTCCATTCCCGGCAACATCCTGGTAAATCTCTCCAGCTTAATAACATCCTTCCTATAACAGGGCGACCAGAACTCGACACAATGCTCCAGAACAGGCCTCACCAACGTCCCTGTACAACCTCAACACGACGTCCCCAACTCCGACACTCAAAGGACTGTGAATTCCGAACCCATTCCTTCTCTCCCTTCATCTCAATCGTTGGTGTAAATTGTAAGAGATTTGAGGCCCCATCCCAGAGCCCTAGGGGACATCCTGCCAATTGAAGACTCTTTTACGAGTTCTCTGTTTTCTACCAGACGGCTAGTCTTCCATAAGTCGCCCTGCCTCCTGCAACATGAGCTTTGACTTTCTGAGAGGCTATTTTGTTGCAACATCCTCTTGAAATCCCAAGTATGTGATGTCCTTTATAGTCAATGCCTGTTACCCCTTCAAAGGGCTCCAATATGTTGCTTAACGAGGGCTTCCCCTCGACAAAACCGTGCCGGCTCTTGCGGACCAACTGCCCGTGCGTGGCTCGGATTTCTTCAATGATCCATTCTTACCGCAGCCCCTGAGAGAAGTCAAGCCAACTGATGTCCCCTCTGAGGCAGAAGGAAGGAAAACATTCCGTTTGGCTTGGTCCTGAACGACTGACATAGGAAAGATATTGTTGAGCTGGAGAGGGCGAGGAAATGTTTTGCGAGGATGTTGGAGGGTTTGAGCTACAGGGAGAGGCTGGGGCTGTTTTCCCTGGAGCGTCGGAGGCTGAGGGGTGACCTTATTGAGGTTTATAAAATCATGAGGGGCATGGATAGGGTGAATAGCCAAGGTCTTTTCCCCCCTCCCCGGGGTAGGGGGGAGTCCAAACTTAGAGGGGCATAGGTTTAAGGTGAGAGGGGAAAGATTTAAAAGGGACCTGAGGGGTAACTTTTTCACACAGAGGGTGGTGCGTGTGTGGAACAAGCTGCCAGAGGAAGTGGGTGGGGGCTGGTACAGTTATAACATTTAAAAGGCAGCTGGATGGGGACATGACTAGGAAGGGTTTAGAGGGATATGGGGCCAAATGCTGGCAAATAGAGTCATAGAGTCGTATGAAGACTCAAAACACCAGGTCATAGAGCTGTACAGCATGGAAACAGACCCTTCAGTCCAACCCTTCCATGCTGACCACCCTAAATGAATCTCGTCCCATTGGCCAGCATTTGGCATTATAACATTATAACTGTACCCACATCCACCATTTCCTCTGGAAGTTCATTCCACACACGAACCACCCTCTGTGTAAAACAATTGTCCCTCATGTCAATTTTTAATCTTTCTCCACTCACCTTAAAGCCCCCCAGTCTTGAAATTCCCCCATGCTAGAGAAAAGACCTTTGCTATTCACCTTATCTATACCCCTCATGATTTTATAAACCTCTATAAGGTCACCCGTCAACCTTCTACGCTCCAGTGAAAAAAGTCCCAGCCTCTCCTTATAACTCAAACCCTCCATTCCCGGCAACATCCTGGTAAATCTCTTCCGAACCCTCTCCAGGTTAATAATATCCTTCCTGTAACAGGGAGACCAGAACTGGACACAGTTCTCCAGAAGAGGCCTCACCAACGTCCCTGTACAACCTCAACGTGACGTTCCCCAACCCCTACACTCAAAGGACTGAGCAATGAAGGCAAGCGTGCTAAATGCCTTCTTAACCTCCCTGTCTACGTGTGACTTGAACCCTGGTCTCCTGGCTTGGAGGCAGGGACCCTACCACCGGGGTAGGGAGTGGATAATGTTATCCCGAGGTCAGGGGGTCCTGGGGGTGGGCGGTGGGAGGGGGTGTGGGGTTGTGGGTGGGGAGCTGTGTGAGACTAGGCCGGACGATGGCATGTGCCAACCGTTAATGGCCAACCTGCAGGTTACGGGATTGGGGGGGGGGGGGGAGTTCAGAGGTCAGGGGTCATCAGGGTTCGGAGGTGTCAGGGGCTGAATGGCCTTTATCAGTTCATCTCCATCAGCTCGGAAGGCGAGGGGTTGGCGGGGGAGAGGGGATTTGGAATTCCTTACGGAAGCCACGCCGAAGCCTAGCTCCCTCTCCAAACCCAGGCCCAAATTCCCAGTCTCGTTTCGAACTGAACCTTCCCTCCCTCTTCCCACCGTCCCACATTTCCACCCCCCAACCCACACAATCCGACTCAAAGTTCAAGAGAGGGACAGGGTACCAGAGCAATGCGGGGGTAGGGATGGATGTAGATAGAGAGAGAAAGACTAGGAGAGAGACAGACAGACAGAGAGATGGAGGTGGTGAGGTGTCAGAAAGTGGGGTCTCGAACCGAGAGAAAGAGGGATGGTGAGAGGGCGGGAGAGGTAGAGAGATCGCAGCTTACAAAGAAAGAGAGGGTTGAGGGGAAGGGAGAGATAGAGATGGACAGATGAGACAGAAAGAGCGCGCCGACACAGAGAGAGAGGGATGGATAGAAAGAGGAAAATACAGAGTGTGTGAGAGAGAGAGAGAGAGAGTGAGGCGCAGAGACAGAGAAACAGAGGGGTAAAGGGACAGATAGAGAGACACGAGCAAAGAAAGGGGAGGAGAGGCTGGAGAGGCGAGGGGGAGGCAAAGGACAAAGAAAAGGCAGGGATAGAGATGGGGGAAGGAAAGAGAGAGAGAGAGTGATGGGGGGAGTGTGAGAGTGAAAGAGAGAGATGCGTATTGAGAGCAGGAGAGCGAGGGAAGTACAGAGATGTGGGAAGAGAGGCAGAGAAGACACAGAGAGAGAGAGAGAGGGGACACAGAGAGGAAGATGGAGAGACAGAAAAAGAATTGAGAGAGAGTGAGCTAAACAGGAAAAGAGTCAGGTCCAGGGGAGAGATAAAGAGAGAGAGATAGGGAGGGAGGGAACGGGAGAAAGAGAGAGAGAGACAGAGATGGGGTGAAGGAGAGAAGGAAATGGAGAGAGGGAGGCAGGGAAGGAGAGAAAGAAAGGGAGGGGATGAGAGAGAGAGATGGAGAGAGGGAGGGAGGGAAGGAGAGGGGGGTGGGAAGAGAGAGAGAGAAGGCACTAATAAAGAGAGAAAGGACAAAGAGAAAATTGGACAAAGAGAGAGAGAGAATTGAGAGTGAGAAGGAGAGAGATAGAGAGACAGAGACAGGAAAAGATTCACTGCTTCGGAAGAGGGAAAGAGATAGGGAGGGAGGGATTGGGAGAGAGAAAAGGAGGGGAGGAGAGGGGGAGATAGAGAGAGGGAGGGAAGGAGAGGGGGGTGGGAAGGGAGAGAGAGAAAGGACAAAGAGAAAATTGGACAGAGGGTGAGAATTGAGAGTGAGAAGGAGAGAGATAGAAAGAGAGAGACGGGAAAAGATTCACTGCTTGGGAAGAGGGAAAGAGATAGAGAGGGAGGGATTGAGAGAGAGAGAAAAGGAGGGGAGGAGAGGGGGAGATGGAGAGAGG